CCCCCTGTCTCCTCCCCTCCCCACCCCTACTCTCCTTAAGGTCTGGCAATATGCCACAGCCGCGGCAGAAGAAGACAATTCCTGATAAGTTGAGTCGGGAAGCCTTTGAAGCTCTGCCACTCTCAACTCACAAATTCGAACTCAATACCTAAAGGGGTAATAGATAAGACTCTGCTGTTGATGGGGGGTCTGGAGTGGCGTCAGAGTTGAGTCTGTCCTTCCTCCACCCCTCTTTAGAGTTTTGCCGCTGCCTCTGATGTTTTAATCAGAAATAAAGTAGTATCAGACCATTCTTTTAACCCCTTTGCAAACATCATCATCACCCAATCATCACCCAATCATCTCCCTAGACATCCTACTCCCCCCCCCTCCTCCACACTTGCCCAAATATCTCTCAATCCTAGCAATTTCTATAAAGTTAAAATTGCAGCAATGCTGCCCCAAGCTAATAAGGAATTAACTTTCCTATAAAAAAGAGGGAAGGGAGATGAGAGAGTCTATCTTACCTTTTTGTGTCTTACGTAAGTTCGGCTGGTGTGATTGTTCTTTTCTATTTGCCACTTTCTTCCTAATTGTTCTTATTTTTATTAAATGCAGGATGCTTGAGGTCTTTGTATATGCGTATTTTTTTGGCATGGGAAGGCAGACTTCGTTAAAGCCTTGAATTTTTTCTTAGGCTAAGTATTATATTTTTATGATAATTTTTAATTGGATCACTGTGCGGAGTTACTACTTCAGTTGTCATGTGTGATCGTTTTTCGCCAGTCAAAAATTTTTTGTTTAATATTATAAATATGAGCGAGTTAACTCACGCTTCCATAGCTCTGAAACATGTGGTGGATACGTGCAATCCTGTTAGTTGTGAAATGGACTAAAAGTACATTTCGGGAGGTCACTTGGATTTAAAAGACACCTTCGCTATTTTGGCACTTTGAAGCATTTCCTTATAATAGCCGAAGTTGACTCAAAAAATATTTAGTAACATAGAACTGATGTATACCTTCTCTTCTCCATTTTGAATGTGAATATCATGTCGTTTAAAGTTGTATCAAATGGCAGGGGTCTTGATGGTTATCATTAGCCCTTTAGTTGACTTCAGACTTCACAGAGGAGAAGGAACATCAAATTGAAAAAGTCGAGAGGGGGAGGGGAAAGAAGAGTGTTTCAAAGATGTAAGAGACAAACACAAAGGTAGAAAAAAGGTAAGAAGAGTACTGTTGAAATAGTCGAATATGGCATAGAGTGAGGTGGTGGTAGTTTGAAGTGAGAAGTCAACTGCCAGTTAATAGACTTTTTTGCCGTATGAATATACGTTGCCCAGGGTGCTCCACGTGGAGGTAAGTCTATCGCACACCCCTGAATGTGAATATCATGTCGTTTAAAGTTGTAATGGGTGTAAATGGAGGGCGGGGGCTATCATGTGGTTATTTTTCTAAATAGGCGGATAATGGCCCCCTTCTAAATTTTGTCTAATTGTGTTTGATTTTTGAGCCAAGTGCTGGTGTGTTAATGGCGTGGAAATGGATAAGAGGGTGTGAAAGTGAGGTTGTTGTGGAGCTATTGTCTGGTTGTTGTGGTGAAACGAAAAGGCCAACTGCAACGCGTCCAAAGGTCTTCGTGGGTATTCAGTAATGCGGAGCATTTGCATTCACTTACAGCAGGAAGGCAATATTGATGATTACTACCGTGCTCTCTCCCTCTATTCCCCCACCCCCTCGCGCCCCCCCCCCCCCCCCCCCCCCCCCCCCCCTATCACTTGGGCGAGAAGTGAGTGGGTGGGCGTACAAGCGGTGACTGTGTGGTGGATTTTAATTTTCCAAATGGCTTTAATTAGTGTCTACATTCTTAAATGAAAATGAACTCCTCCAGGGTTAAAAAATCACCCAGGCGTTTGCAATAAATGTAATTGTTTTTCTCCATTACAGTTCGATGGGTGTTCGAAGAGGTACTCCCGACTAGAGAACCTGAAGACGCACTTGCGTTCGCACACCGGGGAGAAGCCCTATCAGTGCGAGGTGCCGGGCTGCAACAAGGCCTTCAGCAACGCATCCGACCGCGCAAAACATCAAAATCGCACTCACAGCAACGAGAAACCCTACGTCTGCAAAGTCATGGGTTGCTCCAAACGATACACTGACCCTTCATCTCTCAGGAAACACGTCAAAACTGTCCATGGAGCTGAGGTATGCTTCTAGTCTTATCCACGCAGGCCACAGCTTAGTTGCCAACTAAAAAGATCTAGCTTACAGTCTCCAGTTAAATTAATTTCCTCTACCAAAGACGAAACTGCGTTATCAATCTATTTATGTGACTTTGAGTCATCACAACAGAATGAATTTATTTTCGACATATCCCATTATTAAATTGTAATCGCATACTTTCAATCGAGTTGAGATATACTTTATTGACAGTACAAGATTTCGTACTGATTAGCTAATATTGAAAATCGTTAATTAAAATGTTGTTTGGAGCATCGTTGAATACCCCCGTTTCCTCCGAGAGGTCCAATTAATCACATGAAGGACTTTTCACCAGTTGTAGAATACTGGAATTGATAAATCTATTTGCTCTAAAAATACCAAGGAACTAGTTCTTTGGACTATGTGTGCTTAAATCTGGTCTGTAGAATGCAAGACAATGTGGAAATATTTTCAATGCTTCAAGAAATTCGAATTTTTTCCTCCCTTTTGGAAAAGTTGTCAGACGATAAGTTTAAGTCCTATGACGTTTGCTTGATGTCTTGAAGAGAACTAATCCTTGTGGGATGAAATTGTGGAATTCCATTAAGTAATGCATCGATTTCGTGTCTGCCTGCTTGGCTGTGTTTGTCGGACATTTTTATCCAGATACACAAACAGGCACATCACTGCCACTGCCACTGCATGTAAGAAAAGGCAACAGCAGCAGCAGCAGCAGCATCGGGGGCCTATTTGTCTCTCTCTCTCTCTCACTGTTGTGTAGTGTGTGCGTGTGTGTGCGTGTGCGCGCACACTTGTGCAAATGAATCACTTCCTGGTTCGGCTGATAATGATGATTGATCCCTCGGCGTTTGTGTGTGAGAGCAAAAGACGCACCATTTCGTGCTTTTCATCATATTCTCAGGCACTCGCGCGCAAGTGCACCTGTCTTTTTTCTCGTTTTTGGACTTGAATGACTGATTTCGCATGCCAACTTTTCTTCGTCTTCTTCATCCATAGGCCCTCCCCCCCCCCCCTCTTCTTTGCTTCACTTAGGAAATAAGAACGTGGCTCTTGAGAAAGGCAACACTTCTCTTCTTTTCTTCCTTCAACTTGTAGGTTTACGCTAACAAAAAGCACAAAGGCGAGAGCTGGAGCAGTCGGTCTTGTGGGGCTGGTGGTGGGCTTGGAGCCTCTTTTCGCAACTCAAGTGGCGGCGGTGGAGCTCAAAGTTCTAGAGACGATTCAAAGGGTCTAACGGATGGAGGAGGAAGTGGATTTCCCTTCTTTTTCCAAGGGGATGGTAGTGGAAGTTCCAGACGAAGTGGGGGTGGTCCAGGGACTAGAGGGGGTCGTGGAGGGTCACGAGGACCGAAGGGTAATGGTGGTGCGGCTTACATCTCAGAAGGTACCATCCCAGCTCGGCATCAGCATAATCTCGGTGCCAGTGTCTATCCACCATATCAACAAAACGGTCCCTATCCTACTTCACATCACTTTTCTCACGCTGATGGAATGATGACTACCTCACTGAAACGAGAGAGTTTTTCAAGCTGGGCTCCTCACCAATACCATGGCTGGACGGGTAGTGGTGGTTGTGACTGGTCCTCATCGAATTCCCGTGGTGGTGGTGGTTCTTATTCCTCAACTCGGGGGTGGGTCAGCCCTCGCCTTGGGTCTGTAGCAGCTTATCGTGATCCTCGATACGCCGATTCTTACGAGCCCCTTTTGAATCAACCCGCGAACATAGAGCATTCTGCTGCTAGAGTAAGCCTTATTCTCCCACACAGGTCTTTTGAATTCTCTAATCAAGCCCGATTTTATCTTTTTTGCTCTTTTGCCCTTTAGTTTGTTGGGGGTGGAGTTCTGGGGATAAGTCGAACTCGGTATCATCAGCCACAGCCGATGCCACAACAGGGACAATTCCATTCACCAATTTCCTCCATTGTGGCCTCCACAAATTCTTCAGTGATAACAAATTCCTGTCCCTCTTCTCTCCTTTCATCTGAAACTGTGACTGCGTATGTTAATCAACAACAGCCACCGCCGTCCTTTAAGCCAGAAGGCGCAGCAGCAGCAGCAGCTCCTGTCTTTCCACACGGACTTTGTTCCCAAAATCCCCTCAAACCCGAGTCTTCGGGTCTCTCCTATCACTCAGCCAAACTTGACAGTCTAATGGACAGCACTTCCGCGTGCAAAGATGGAGCCTCCTCTGTTCTTTCAAACGATCCCACTGGTAAGTTCACTGGAGGACGAGACCGAATCGAGATTGTATTCGTAATATTTTATGTTCAGTTCATTTCTTTCCTTCCCATTTCTTGCCTAATTACTCAAATTATTTGCTTTAGTAAGTTCAGTAAGTTCAAAATGGCATATATGCAATTCAGTGGAGCCAATTCACGCGAACATATTAGTTTAACGGAGGTGTGTTCTGCGTCTTTGTAGACAGATGGCCACGGCAGCAGCAGCAGCAGCAATTGGGTGGGAGAGGTAGCGCGTCGTCGGGCGTGGGTTCGGGTCTAACGAGCATGACACAGGACAGTGGGTATCAGGATAGTGACCTGCGAATTAGGGGTATCACAACCCCAACCACCCCCACAGCAGTCACCAAAGATGACGGTAACACGCCAGCCGACTGGGACGACTCTTCTCAGCACCACCAGCCTTCGCAATTGTTGCCCGATCAGGTCACTCAAATGAGCACAACCAGCTCGCAAGTGAGCAGTGGCCTCGGCTCCATGGTGAGTTCATCAGGAACCGGAGGGTCGAGTAACTGTGGTGGTGAAGCAAATTCACATCGAAGCTGTGTCTCTAGCATGGATACCACCACCACCACCGCTGCTGCATCCAGCAAGATGGCCTTCTGGGAGAGTCGAAATGACACAGAATCCAGTTGCCTCTTCCAGCTGTCTTCTAATGCTCAAGCCACCGTCAGCGAACCAAGGGGCCCTGATTTTAGCCAATCACGCAGTGTAGGGCCTGCTTTTGATCAATCAAGCAGACTTTCCTACTCCGTTAATAACTGGAGCACTAACCCATCGGAGACTGCTTATACTAGCCAGACTCCCTCTAGGGACTATGCACAGTCTAGTAATTGGTCTTCAACGGGACATTCTACGGGCGTCTACTTCGCTTCAGGATATTCTGATCAGCAAATCCAAAGAAACACAAACTCCACTGAATGGTCCCGAAGTGCCTATTCCGGCCAGCCCTGCCTTTATACCGACTATTCTTACGGAGCGCAAACTCAGTCAATGAATTACCCTTTGTATCCACCTGACAACCAGTCAACAGGATATCGTGGGGGCGGTAGCATCTATGCTGGTGGTTGGGGTGAGGTGATGGTAACAGGTAGCGGGAGCAACGTGGTGACTCCGACAGCATTTAACTCCTCCTCCTCCTCCTCCTCCTATGCAGGACTCTTCTCCGAGGCCATGAATTCTCGATTGGTGGTGCAGCAACAACAACAACCGAACTCATCTTCCATATCGAATTTGGAGGAGCTGCAGGCTTCCTCTCAGGGCAATTTTGATTTTGGCATCAATAGCAGCGTTGGTGTAAATGTCACTAGTCCCCCTTATGACCCCCTAAACAGTAACCTCATTGTCTGTAGCATGCCGCCACTGCTGCAAACAGAGAATGCATCTGGAAACTCCGGTCTGTATCCGGCGGCGTTCAATTAGGAGAAAGACACCAAAGACACTTGACACTATTCTCTCTGGCCCAGGACTTGTGATATTACCCATCTCCCCATCCCTTCTCTTGAAAAGCGCCCAAATTTTGTGTGTAAAAAATGTGAAGACTCGACTTCCTCCTGTATTCCTCTTGGCAAATCGGAGAGACAAGCATTTCATCATAACCCTTGCGTCATGTCCTCCTCCTCCTCCTCCTTCTCTCTCTCCCTCCCTCCCCCTATCGGTTGAGTTTTCATTAATTTGCAATCTTTTGTTGATTATGATGATGATGATAGACAAGCGTGGCCATTGGCTTGTTTGTGCGTTCTTTTTCTGTTCTCTCCTCCTTCCTGAAATGCCATTTTTACTATTGTAACAATTTCGTCTCACTAATACAGCAAAGCACAACTCCCCCTTCCTCCACTGCAATATATATCTATCTCTCCCTCTTTCTCTCTATCTTGGTGAATGTAAATAATGCTATATATATATATATATATTCTGCAATATTTACTCTCCGACTTTATCTACTCCACTCTGAGATTAGGTGCTGTGGTATTTCAAAAAAACTTCCAGTTTTTCCTATTAAGTGGGTGTGTGGGGAGGGAAGTGAGTCAATTACTGGCCCTTTGGTGTCAATGTTATTTAGACCGCAAGAATTGGAATTTAAAAGCGCCCTATTATCTTTCTCGAAAATATTAGTTTGAGTATATCAGCGTAGCTGAAAGGCCGTAAAAAATGCAGGTTGTACTCTTAAGGGTCAACGAGAGGGTTGGGATCGAGAAGGCAATGAGGATTGCGAACTGAAGTAGATGTTTGTGCTCACCCTTGAGAGTCTTTTACCAAGTACAACATGGGCATCAATAAGTGCTGAAATGCCTGTCGTGGTGTCTCCTCTTTGCACTGTAAAAGTTCCATGCGCATCGACACATCCCTGGCATTTAATTTTACTCTGATGGCAGTGTTAAAGTTTGTAACTACGTCGGAATTCAAATGAATATTTTAGAGGGTCAAACTTTCTAATGGGAAGGTTTTGACAGATAATGTGAGGTGTGTGTGGGGTTTGATGTAATTTGTCAGGTACCCACCTTATCAGGCTACCGGTTGCCATTTCATTTCCTGCTGAAGTTATTTCCGAAAATAATTAAGCGCTTTCCTGGTTGACAGTACAACAGCACTCTACAAATTTTTAGTAATAATAGTGATGGATGATTAATCTTTCCTAAGAAATTGACTTTTTAAACTACTTCTTGAACGCTAAAGCAACATTTCCCCAACTATCAGAACGTAGTCACTGTGCTTCAAAGTTAAATCATATTTTGATGATATGCAATTAAACCTTTACCACCTAAAACGCCACCAACTTACTATCACAATTATCGATATTTTGCTAGCCTTCCACAAACCCGTTTGTACGAGAAGCCGGCAAATTATACTGCTAGTAGCATAAGAGTGCATTTTATTTCATCGAGCAATCAAAATATGGACAGAGGGATGGGAGCATTTGGAGGGTACGTCAAAAAAGGGAGAATGCTCTCGAAGTAGTTCACTAGCGTATTCTTTCCAGTTTCAAACTTTTAATTCAAGAATCAATTCCGTGTAGTTCTCGAGAAAATCAAAATTAATTGAAATGAAAGAATCTCGTGATTGACAGTCCTCTTTAGCTCGGGATTCATTAAAAGTTGCAGGGTTCTAATAGACGAGTCTAAATCCATTCATAATATTACTTAACCTAAAATAGTAGTATGCATTATATCTGAATACGTATTGCATTTGCATTCATTGCCATGTCTCATTTTAACTTGGAAAGAAGGGTCAATTGACAAAAATGGTAATTAATTAATGATTATTCGAAAAAGTTAAACCTTTATTAACTTAACTTGTGTCGGATGAAAGCGCATAATTTTCGTGAGATGTAATTTAAGTTTATACTCGCACTTATTTTCTCGAACTCGCATTTATCATTGGCTAATCATGTCCGCTAAACCGAAACATCTGAACTGGCAAATACCCTTAGTTTCAACTTTCGAACCCACCCCATTTTCATCTCCATATCCCACTCGCACGAACTTTTATTTTGATCTACATTTAGTTGATTGAGATCTACTTATGGTTTGTTTGTTTATATATTTATAAATTGTAATCTATCATCTATAATATAAATATCCTTGTCAAATGTTTTCCTCGTTGTTTGAAAAAGAAAATATAATAAGGATTCTTATTTATTTAATAAAAAATTAAAAAAATATGGCACTGATAGCAATGCGCAATTACAGTTCATATCGACGGTAAAAAGTTAGTCGAGAGTAATATTAAATTGTCAAGATCTTAAGACAGCTTTGAATTTCAACACACTAAGGTAACTTAAAATCTGATTTCATCGTGCTCCTATGGGGATTTTACATGAACGATAAAGGTCTTAAGTTAATAAAATTTTTCAACACATTTTAAAAAATCGCAGGTAATACGTGTCAAGGAATGCACTTGTATCTTGCCCAAAAGTTTTCGAATGCCTAAAATGTATGATTAAATATAAAAAATTAGATATTCACTCAAAGATGGTCTATTCTGGATAGTATTAACATGCTTAAAAACCAAAACAAAACTATCACATTTTATAAAATAATTTAATTCGTAAATAGTAAATTCATAATAGTAAATTAAATAAAACAAATTGAATATCTTCTAACAAAATTAACAAAACAAGTTTGGTTTGAAAAAGTTTTTATACTTGTTTTAGGCAACGTGCATTTCTATCTTCCCGGCACATTTGCACTTGTATTCCTTTTTGTGATGCCTAGGCGGAATACCTCGATTCACATCAAGAATCTTGCTGATGGAGTTCGGTAAGTTGATTATTTTAAATTATCATTAATTTCTGCGAATGTACGGCACCTTAGGATCACTTTAAGTTCCTTTGATAAAACTATTTCCCCTATTAAAAATGTGCCGTTTTGCTTAAATGTGCGCATCGGGTTTTATCTACCTTTACGGTTTATTTTTTAGACACGAAGAACTCCGCCATGCCTTCGGAAAATTTGGAAGAGTTGTTGATGTTACTGTTCCTGTTAATTACCATACAGGAAGACCCAAAGGATTCGCATTTGTAGAATATCCTTTTAAATTCTATTTTTTGATCTGTTTCTTGCTTATGACCGTAGCTTCGTTTTCCCTTAACTATAAAGTGTACGTTTGATGACCCTCGCGACGCTGAAGATGCTGTCTACCATATGAACAAGACTCGCTTCGCAGGACGGGAAATTTCTGTTGAATTTACAAGAGGAACCAGAAAAAGTAGGTCACTTCTTTCTTTTTTTATTGTGGCTGTCAGATCCATGTTTACGTCATTAAAACCGTAGTAGTAGTCGATCTTAGTGTGAATGTGTGCAGTGAAGTGTTAACGTTCCCCTGCTTTCTTCTAGCTTTCTTGAGTTATATCCAAGTCAGTCAATTACAATCAACCAATGTACTACCAGTTACAATTCAAGTCAAAGCTCACAGCTAGATCAAGCCAAGCTCTAGTCTTCAAATGCAAAGCAATCAATCAAACAGTGGTTCATGCGGACAATTTCAATGTCCAATGTCATTCGTTTATCCATTATATACCCCCTTTTTATTATCAATGTCTGCGTGTTTGTGTAGCTCCTGCAGAAATGCGCGCTCGAGACAGTGGAAGTCGCAGTGGTAGGTCATGGCGTAGTCGATCTCGTTCTCGTACACCGCGTAGACGCAGATCATCACGCGATCGATCGGTTTCACGTGATCGTCGTAGGCGTCGTGATGATTATCGACGTCATTCTTTCTCTAGATCTCCTGAGGAGGAAAATGGCCGAAATGGACGTCGCAGGTTTGTTTAACCTTCTATAAAATACATGGCTAAGTGTATGAGACGTGCCGAAATTAGTATCAACTAAAAGTTGAACTATTTTTTCGCTTAATTAAAATTGTTCTCAGTTTAACGCTATATTTATCCTATTTTCACCCTAAATCATGCGTTTTTCCCTTCTAGCTTTAAAAATTTCGTAGATTTAATTCTTATTCCATGCGTTTGTCAGTATTAATCAGAAATAATTGAGATTTGTAATGTTTTGGAGGATGCTTTAGTTCCTGCAAGTGTTTGGGTTGAATGAAATTTTAATTCTAGTTCGAAACTTCCTTGACTTTCACTCTATGAAGGGCGTAATGTACTAATTATCCCCAATGACACTTTACACTGTTTTAGAAATAGCGTAGATGACCGTCACTCTAGGTCTCCAAGCGCTGGACGTTCGCCTTCACGTGATGCCTCGAGATCACCGAGTCCACGTGGTAGATATTCGCAATCGCCCGGTCGCTCTCACAGCCCCTCGCCTCGAAGTCGTTCTGGATCGCACTAGGTCTTCGCCAGGTGTATATTTCGGTGTTGTGTAGTTATCGCATAATGGAATTAATGTAACATTTTTAATATTTGAAATAAAATACCACGTCTTCTGCAACTCCTTCACTTCTCTTTGCTCTTGCGATTGGTTAGAGTAGGCTCTAAGGTTCATATTTGTTGTGCCTGCTAGGAAACAGAAGTGAGCACGAGGGCTATTCGAAAGCAACTAGAGTTTTATTTCAGTGATGCAAATCTCTCTCATGACGGATTCTTCTTCGCTGAGTTGAAGCGTTCGCCTGATGAGTCGATAGGCTTTGATCTCCTCCTTCGGTGCAATAAGCTGCGTTCTCTGGGGGCCACCACTAAAGAGCACTTGGTATTAGCACTTGAACGCTCAAAGTCACTCAAAATCAATGATTTAGGTATGTGGTGGTAGCTTTTCATTTGGTAGTTGGAAGATATCAGCGGTGAGATTGGGCTTCTTGAATAGGTTGTATGTATGTGTAATGGTCAGAATGGCTTGTGTGGTCTTTTTACGAACTATTATGTAGAAGGTCAGGAAGTTGTCTCCTGGGTTCTAAGTGCTATTTCTTCTGCTCAATGTATATTGGATAACTTTTTTGGCCTTACCAGTTGGAGGGATTTTGCATTCGTTGTACTTAAGTCCTCGTTTGAGCATGAGGTCACTTACGAGATGTGTTCCTCCGTTAGTCGTTAAATGGTGAAATATTTTTTGAATAAGAGTTGAGAATCGAAATTGCTCCTGGTGAAGGTTGTTCCGAGTATTGGCTGTACTTATTCTACGCCTTCCTGTAATGCCGGTGAAAAGATAGTCCATTACTTGCAAGTGCCTTATGGAGTTAGTAATAAGACTCTAATTGATGGAAAGAATCACTTGGATGGGCGCTCCATTAATCGCTATGACTGCTACTGCCTAAGGTGCATGGAGTGAGTGGCTTTGAATTAGCGAAACTGCAGATGCGTGCAAACTTCCGCTCTTGAAAGTCAATAGCTGGTAAAATGGTTAGCAATGTGGAGCTGAAATTTGTTCCAATTGTTTTTTTATTGGGAGGCAGTTGCCAATAGGAGGCTGAAAGGAGTATTCATGTAAACGAAGTAGTGAAGAGAAGGTTTTGCGGGACTTATTCCATTCCTTTTTGATTATTTAATAAATACTAGTGTGTCTTCGTAGGCACCGGTGTCAAGCGTGTGAAGCCGTACGATTTCACGCGGACTCCCCCGGATTGCATCGTCCTTGCGACGGGTCTTAATTTCCTCAACTCACCTCATTCACCATCGATGGACCAGGGCGAAGACGATGGCGACGACGTTGAAGAAGTCTTACAAGTAGATGAAGGTGTTGGAGGAGTGAGCACGGATGAGGTCATTAACTTCCTGAAAGAACAACTGAAGGAATATACCAAGGTGAAGTACATTCATGTTCCACGGTGAGTGCTCAACTGCTTTATTGGCAATTTCGTATTTTGTACTTTAGGTGCATGGTCTGCAGAATTTCAAGGTCGTTTTTCCAACATGCATATATATATATATATATATATATATATATATATATATATTCTGTTTTTTAGAGGTCATTACAAACCATTAATTCAAAATATCTGAGCGTAGACGTATGTAATTAGGAGGTTTCGTGTTTTTCACGGATTTAATCCGCTGTGAAGGTTCTTCGTCGCGTCTTGCGTTTCCTTCACGTTTACTCCAGATAAATGCAATTAATATGGTCTCAATGCAATTTACCCCTGGCTTCCCATCTAAGCAGCAATCTAATTTTATTTTGGCTCTAAAGGGAAAACACGTCAGAACAGAACACCTTCATATGGGACTCCGGCCCATCTCATATTTTTCTTCAGCGATCCTGCTGAGGGAGTTCAAATATCAAGCAATTTTTATCTTCAGAAATGTACCGTTGCAGCTGATGTGACAAAACAGTGTGAGCTCAATAGTCGTGACATTTCTTTAATGACCCCCCGCGGTTTTTCTGCCTCCGCACGACGGCCATTTTCATCAAAGACGCATTCCATGTACATTGTGGAGGGCACAGAGAACTTAAATTTCTTTTTTCTTGAGGACGAAAACCGTATTCTCGAATGCAGTAGAGAGGTGCGGTATCACATCCTTGGAGCTCCTACCGAGAAAGAGGTTTTAGAACGCCCCTTTATTTCAAGCATTGAAATTCTAAGTCTACTACATTCAAGGCTATTAGTGGAACCGGGTGCTTAGGTCAAAGATGTGGCTGAGTATTAGTAATCAGTTTTAATTGCATATGAGTGTGATTGCATAGGCAAAGTCATCAAAATACCTCTGCAAACAGTAGAACATTATCTCAGTCGTGAATGAAGAGGAGGTGGATGTGTCAGAATGTGGAGCATTGATCAGATCCACAAAAGAAAGTTGTAATAGCTAGTGGAGATCAACCAGATTTCTTTGGTTGTCAGATCATGTTACAGCTTGGCTTTATCTGTTTAGCAGACCCCTAGCTGGTTCCGACTGTAAATAGAATGTCATTCTCTATTTTTGGACGACTCAATAATTTCCATGCCTTCCTTGGGATTATGGTTGTACCTGGAGTGGTACCAAGTTGTAGATTAGCACGATTTCCTTTGATCTCTGAATTCATGTATGTGGCGCTCAGTGTCAAGTGATAGTTCGATTTGTGCTATTTCGGTTTACATTTATTATTTCAACTCTTCTATGGAACGTTATTTAATTTTATCCTTTACAAGTCTTGGTCATATTGCTGATGAAAAATCATATCCCCCGGGCAACAATCTTCTTTTTGTCCAGTCTTTACAGAAATACCGATTGAAAGGACATTGCTGGGGGAAATGTCAATTCCGTCAGGTTTGCCAAGTTTAAAACATTTCCTGTTCGATAGAGGAATTTGGCCCCCCCCCCCCCACAACTTGTACAGATAGAGGCATAGATGCAGACATTTTGCGTTCCAGACTCGTAGACATTGAGTCAGAATCAATTAGAGCTGAAGAGTGCGTAAGATTTGACGTTTTTACTCCTCTGTTTACGTCTTACAGCCCCACGTTATGGCTTCATTCCAGTAGTTTTAAGAGCGGTAATCGGTGCCTGAACTATTCTTCCGTTAATATGCCGAAATTAGAATGACATTTTGCGTCTTTAAAGCCATACAAAAGTCCTCATCATACTCGGTTAGACTTTCGATTGACATTCGTGTTCGACAAGGCAAAGCTTCTTGTCGTGATAACTACCCACCCCCCCTCCCCCCTCCCTCGCTTTTTCCATCTCATCTGGTATGATTCTCCCTGAATGAATGTCTACTCACACACAGCTTCATGAGTGAACTCGGGAACATTTTTTTGTGATATCATCAGTATTTTCAGGAACAGAAGTTTCACCAGCTAATGGAGGTTTAATGCAAGATGAGGAAACAGAAGCATTCAATTATTAATAACTACCAAATTTAGCCAAAGACAGTTTGACATCCAGAGCATTTGCGAAGCATCTACTACTTATTGAGAGAAGTGCGAAAATTTCGGATTTCTTTTAGATTTAAAACAAGTGGATCACTCCGCGGTTTCGCATTTGTTGAATTTGGATCAAAAAATGCTGCCGACAGTGCTCTCTCAGCTTTTGCTCCCACCGAAGAGGATCTAGTCCGAATCCCACCCATGCCAGGTTGGTTGATGTCTCCTCTGCTGCACTTCTATTTGTGCCGTCCTCGCATTTTCCGCCCTCCCTCTCTCTCTTTTGTAGCCTCTATTAAGGGCAAGAAGATGGGTGTGGAGTCAGGTTGGATGCCCAAGACAGCACCCTACGCTGCTTCGTCGCTCAGCCTGTCGGAGCAGTTGGCACGTCAACTTGTGTGGCGCTGTTGTAGTCGACGTTCGAAACAGGAGAGAGCTGCCTTCCGTCGACTTCTCAACGCGGGATATAGAAGACCAAACCCTCTTGACGCGGAATGTTCGTTCCCCTCTATTTATACTTGTATCTTATTTTCACTTTGCAACTAGAGTCCAGTGTGATTATACAAATTATCGGAATAAGGAATTCATTTGCTCTTTAGTTACCTGCAATTGCATGCTGTTTGTTCTATCAGTGCCTACTTTTGTGCTCAAATGCTTCGTGGTACTTCCACTTATCGATTCAGTGCTTCATCAGTGCCATTTTTTCCCAAGGCTCCCTTTTATTATTAATTCGCTTTTTTTCTATGACCAGTCAGATAAATTTCATCACATCTCTTCCAATCGCTGAAACTCGCGGTTTAATATGTGCGTGAAGCTCACAGTTGTTTGAATTTAGAGATTTCGGCTGCTATTGGTATTATAAATAGCCTATGCTTAGCACAATGGTATAAAAATGCTACAAAACTGACTACTTTGATGCTATGTCACTCATTTCATCGTTTATATGGACCATCTTTTCAAACAAGTTAATTTCTCTGCTGTACGTTATGCAAGATGGTCTACAGATATTCAATGCGCGTAGAAGAAAAGTTTCATAAATAAGGCACATCTCGCCATCCACCCATTTGTAGATCATTTGATAACGGGAGGCTATACCACCACCTCTACAAACCCTGTCGAAGTGGGGAAGGCGGAGGAGGGAGAGGAGAGAAAGGAACGACTGCGTCTCCTTCCCTACAGCGATTGGGAGTTGTGGCGCACCCGTTTTTACCAATGGCAACGCGCCTGGGTGATTCGGATGAACTCCAAGGCCGAGAAGTTGACCGCTCAGATCGAGCGCAAGATGCGGGCTGTCAATGTCTCCTCTGCACACAATCGTCCTCACGTCACTTCACCACCACCACTACCACCTCCTGAGGTGGCAGCGGTGGCGGCCAATTGTTCGCCTCCTGTCAGACTCGATCTTCCCAGCAGCTACTTTCCTGGCACTGTCGTTGAGGTTAGTCTGCCCTTCTCTGAAAATTGAAGTTTTCAGCATTTCAATGTAATTACCCATCTTTGTGTCCTTTATTTGCTGATCATATTCAGTTGGGTTCTAGTCCTTAATGCGATTAGGGTTAGGGTCACAACTTGTTTGCATTTGTGAAATACATTTCATGTAATTTGTCTGTTGTCGGAAGCACATGACAACATTTCGAAGATTGATTACGCTTTTTGATGAATACGTATTTGCAAATTGGCTTTCGGTAGCTTTTCTATCAAAAGGGAGGAAGTAGCTTGTTGGTTGCCCAGAAGCGTTCACCCACCATCTTTGTCGGCCACTTAATACCATGTTACCATTGTAGGTTTTCTGGCCATTGGAGACGGAAGTGATGAATCTGGACTTGCGAAAGCAGATGCGCCACGTGCGGCTTGCGATTGAATCGAGCGTACTCCAGCCTTACAATCTCCTCCATTCTGTCATGCATTTTGACACACAGAGCGGTAATAGACTGCCGCTGCTCCATAGACCTCAACACCTCCCCTCCACTTTAATGGAACCCAACCCACGAACTGCTTGTGTGTATATTCGATTCAAGGAACCTCAGGAGGCGAAGGCCTTCGTCTGTGCGATTGCTGAAACCGGCACCGGCTCCTCCCAGGGTGGGTTTCGTACTACTCCGATTGGGTTTTTATCTGTCACCTAAGCTCTTATTCACTCCTTTATACCCTTGTGTACTAGTGCTGAAGCACCTTGCCATTAGTTACACTTTACCTGGAAGCTTCGAATATACTCCCAATCCCCCACATTCATTCGTGCATTCTTGTCTGCAACGTCTTCGTCGTACTGCAGCCAAACATTTTATTAGGCTTGGAAATTACAGAATTAACTTCTGGGTGTGAATACTTTCCACTTGGTCAACTATTTTTCTGGATCTTTTGAAAGGAATAAGGGAACGGTTGTTTTGGGCCCTATGAAATCAAATTTTCATATTTTATTTGCGTGCTCTTGATCTGAAAAGAAATCCACGATCTATTATTTGCATTTGTTCCTTGTGGTGACCGAAGTAACTTCACCACAGGAGAAGAAAGAGGATATACATACTTTGTTTTAACGAAGCCCTTGAAAAACTGCTGTTCAACTTCGTGTTTCCTGGCGACAGAACATGGGGTGTGCAGTGAGGCTTTCACCACTACAAGGTTAGGTGAATAGAAGCTTAAATAATTTTGTTAAGTGGATCGTAAGCAGAGGAGAGGTACAATTCCAAAACGCGACACAGTTCATTGCGCGCTTTTGGTAAATGCTCCCTAGAAGAGATCTTGGAAATACTCTTCCTTTTCTTATGGGCTATACACGTTATTTTGGTACTCTTTTCTAGATAGTGGAGATGTCGAAGGTGCTTGGCGAAGACGCGGTGGATGTTCAGCGGAGATCCTTGAGGGTGAGCGTGAGGAGGAGTACTGTGCGGCTATCGCAGCCTCCAAAGCTGGCGCCGCGGAGCGAAGACGCCGAACGCAAGCTGCCAAGCGTCGCAAAAAGGTCAAGAGTCAAAAGACTGTCGTATCCCAATAGACAGTCGGCATTTAAATCATTTTTGTCAACTGTCTACTTTTAAATGTACACTTATGCACTTGTCAGACAAACGTCTTTGTCCTTTATTAGTTGCAAGGTAGTTACGGGTCCTCCAATCCATAAAACCAGTTGTTGTAAACCCTGAAAGTGCTCAACGTAAAACTCCTTTGAGAAGAAGCTCATGTACTACCGCCCCCTCCTTGTTCGCACAAGTTGACAAAAGTGCTTGACTACCGCTTCATCTCACTTTAGGCCTTGCCAACTTCATCCTTTTGACGGTATTTTCGACCCAACTCACATGCGTTGAAAACGCGATAGAGGCGGAAGGAAACATATCCAGCCTCACAATCATCACAACAAGAGAATATGGCTGAGTATACCACAAAGGTCCCAACTTTCCATCGATTGTCACGTTGGTCCATGTGGGGTAAATGCTTCCCTATCGGGCTGGTGGAGTTGTTTGCTCATCGTGCCAGTACCTCGACGATACTTTACGCTACAACCTTTTGCCCATTTTCATCAGCCGCTTCAATTTACACTAATAAAGCACTGCTACCAAGTTAAGCCCACAAAAGCAGAGTATATTAGCAACACATTGAGGCCAGGATATTGAAATTTTTTATAGAAATGATGAAGGGACACAATATACACTAAGGCAAGACAAAACATAGGCAAAAGGGAAGTGGTCCAATTAAAATAAATTAGAAGTTGCATCCGCTGTCTGTGACCTTGCACGGCCTTATTCTGTTCCTCGGCTAAAGGTGCAAAAATAAGTGAGCCATAACTACTGAACGCATTTAAGTAGAAGTGGTTGTGTACCTCGAAGTAGAAAGTGTCGGTGTTGTCATCTGGACAGGGGATGAATGGCATTGTGACGTTTGGAAGGTCCCCCCAAGGCCCCACTTGGACGAAGAAGGGGTGCGTCTCCATTCGAGCCGCAGTCTCGATGCGTCGCATTGGCTCTCGCACAAGGAGACCCCCGATGAGATCCCGTGACTCGGGCGAAATCCCCACAAATTGTTGATCCTCGTTGGTGACGGCGGCGGAGTTTACATTCTCCTTCTTCTCTTCTGTCAATGCCTCTGGCCAGGGAATTTCTGAAAAAGAGAAAAGGAACCAAATTCCATCATTTCTGAGCGAATATTCAGAATGATCTCTATCTTGATACACGAATACTAAGACTGTCTAAACATTTCCATCCATTCTCACATAACCTCCCACTGGATCGAATCACCTGGAGAAATCGATCTTGATTTTTAATATTGCCAATATAAGCTCCATAATATCTTCATAAACGAATGCTAATAAAAGCAGTTGATAGGATCACAATAGGCATTTTCATGGGCTTTTGATTAATCCTTTCCGTAAAGAGAGTCAATAGGTCTCACCGTCAGTTAAGTCATAAGTTGACACTGAGATCTAACACACATATCTCAGTAATTAGGATCGCGAGTTACTAATTCGCCTGGACATTCAGAAAGAAAATAAATAGACCACCACCACCAACAATATATATTGCCAGTTTAACAAGTCATCCCAGACCTAAGGCACATCTAAATTGAATTATTTCATTCGTGTAAGGGAATTGGCCCGCTAGATTGTGCAAAGGATTGGCAAATATTTGGAGCCAAACTTCAAGTCAGCATGGACACACACATGCTCACACAACTCCACGAACTCATCATAATAGAAAGTATTACTTATTGGTCAGGCCATTTTGATTGAAATAGACCAGGCCATCAAAATTGGGGAAAAAGATAAATAGGATAAAACAAGGTCCTGCAGACAAGCTAAATTTTTCAACGGGAGAGTAGCGCCTAACAATATCCCTCTGTAAAACACAAAACAAAGAGAAAATAGGAGGAGGAGGAGGCGAGCGATAATGAAATAAAAGAAGTCCTGGTGATGACGTACCGAGGTTAGTGATGTGAGCAAAAATATCGGGGACAGTCAAGTCGGCGAAAGGTGAGACGCCAGTGATCATTTCGAAGAGAATGACACCCAGCGCCCACCAATCGACTGCAGGCGAAGCGATAGCCGCTGCATGGGAGCTGCCTGGGAAAAGGAGTTCAGGCGCCAAGTACTCCGGTGTCCCCAACAGAGGCTCATCTTGCTCACTCTTCGGCGACGCCTCCAATCGAGCCTTCTCATCATCTTCAACCCATCTCACCTCATCACCTTCTGCACTAGCGTCGTCCTCCATCTGCAATAAAACATGTCAAGTGAAGCATTTAGTCCAAACTACTTAAACAACCAAAGCGAACACTGAGGCCACAAACTGAAGTGGGAGTGGAAATAAGAAATACCACCGCCTGTCCCTAATATTCCAATGTGTCGTCTACCAGTTTTCACACCTTTGTTGTCACTTTAATTTGATTATAACCTCTTCTCGGAATACATTTAGTGACATCCACATGAGGAAAACAACCAGCCTAGACCTCACAATAATTATGTCAAATGGCAGGCGTTTTGATGGTTATCATTAGCCCTTTAGTTGACTTCAGGCTTCATAGAGAGGAGGACCATCAAGGTGAAAAAACGTCGAGAGGGGGGGGGGGAGACAGAAGAGTGTTTCAAAGACGAAGGCAGAGAAAAGGTGAAGTGAGTACTTTGAAGTAGTCGAATATGGCATACAATGGGGTGATAGTAGTTTGAAGTGAGAAGTCAACAGCCGGTTTATAGACTTTTTTGCCGTATGAGTATACGTTGCCCAGGATGCACCACGTGGAGGTAAGTCTATCGCACACCCCCAGCAAGGTTTGGCTGTTTCAGACTTCACAATAGTGAAAATTTCCCACAACCATTGGATGGAGGGGCTTTTCTGTAACTGTTTTGTATGAAGCTCGAATTCCATCATATATCTGGTTATCGTGTTACTGTGTTTTGTAAATTGAATGCTTAGTTTAGACCCATATTTGTGATAAGACTTTTTAGTGCTGTTGACCAAATAAGCCAAATATAGCACCAAATCCGCCCTGAAAAAGGCAAAAACTCAGAAGACACTAAAAGCAAAGTAAAATGAAAACAACTCCACCGACACAATGGTCCTTGAAGTGCTATGCTACTGAGTAAGGGGATTACAGAGACGGGAAGGGATTGAAGAATGAGGGAGTTTAATAATAGAAATGCTTGTTCACTAAAAAGTCAACAGAAAATTCAAATAAGGAAATAGTAAAAAAAGGCCTTTTCTTTGTGATCAGATGTATTTTAATTAGCATACTTTCATTTAGCAAATAAGCATTCATTTTAAATGGAAGTAAAATCGGTACACAGATAGTCCCTGGGAATTTTTAATTGCCTATTAGAATTTGAGAAAAAAACATTAACTTGTAGCCCGTGCCTCAAATATGAATCTATCCGAATGCGATACTGAGTCAGAACAAGTAGGGGGAAACTGGAAACTCCTTCTTCAAAGTTGGGGAAGGAACAAATTCACTACAAACACTTTGCCATAGTAGACTGCTAAAGGCAGTGACAAAAAGTTGATAGATATGAGCACTTAACACTCAATATAAGTATAATAATGAGCATGAATAAGGCCGCTGATTTGATAAATGAAGGAGAGGGTGTTGGGGTAACCCACCGGTTCCTCGACATCATGAATGAATGTAGAGGCGAAAGGCGCCAGAAACTCCTCCTCGACTTCGTGGCAGGATGTTGAAAGAAGTGTGGGAGGATGAGGAGGAAGTGATGGCGGTGAAACGTCCATATTTTGGGATGGAGAGGAAGCGACCGTATCTATCGGTGTCTCGTACACAGAATCACTCTCCCGACTGCAGTCTTTCAAGAGACGACTGTCGTTGATAACTGTGCTCGTGGACGTCTCATAGTCGGCAAAAAGATTACCACCACCAATACGAGATCTCCGTATTCCATGACTCGCATCACAGCTCTGCATCAGCCTTCTGTCCGACTATCAAAAAGAGGGTGGAAACGAGGGCAAAATCAATGATCTAATAGAAAGAATATTCACCCTGATTCTAAAATTTAACAAAGATCTTTGTGAAGTCAATCCAACTACCCCATTTGCACCAATTTGTGCCGAATGCCTAAACCTAAACTGAAGTCTCTAGATAACCTCGACGTTGAGACAATCAAGTGATTCAACGATATTTCCTTTGCTTCATTAAACAGTCGGAATTCTGTTAATTTTGAGTGAACCAGAATATACTTTAATTACGACCACCATTTAGGTATATATACAACTTATCTTAAGTTATTGGTAGCAGTTCCGTTTGTACCCTCCAATCCATTTTGTTGTTAGAGAAAATAATTTTACCTTCGATTTTCCACAAGCATTCTCAGTGTTCGAATTCAAATTTCTTTACTATGGTTTGCTCAAATACCTGGTCATTGACAGCTGCGTCGTTTTAAAAACCGATTCTCGTTTTGAGTTAAAACATCGTGTTCTACATCCCTGTCTTAGAGTAGAGAGAACCTGGAATCAATTAGTAAAAAGTAGACAACTAACTCGAGAGATGGTGGACCGAGCATGGCGAGAGAGGAACATGGGTGAGCGAAGGGGTCTCGGACGCATTTCCGTCTGTGGGGTTCGGGGGAAGTGAGAAGGACGGTGATGATGATGATGAAGATGGGATGGATTCAACTCCGACAAGCATACAGCATCTACAGGCAGAAAAGAAATGAGTGTGTCAATAAAAAAAACCAATCAATGCAACAGTGGCTGATATGGCAAAGGGAAGACACACTGGAGAGGTCAACAGAGGAGAGGCGTTTGCAGAGACCAAATCGACTCAGAGAGATGACGAGGGAGGACATGTCAGAGGTGGCTTTGTTCTTCTGCGACGGCGATAGGGCCTCAGGGGGGGTCTTCAAAGCAGTCGCCACGTTAACGCCATGACACGTCTCAGTGTCGTTACTGCTGCGCAAAGGGAAATAAACTGCACGATCACTCAATCAAAGGAGAAAACGTAATGCAAAGAATAGACTAAGTGCTCGGAAAGGCACTAAGAGCAGTTAAAGTCTAGGGAACCAGTTCAACAAGTGTATGGCTAAAGCAATATATTACTGTGAGTACAACTCCATCAGCATCTACAACTCCATTTGGGTAAATACAAAAGAGGCAATCGACTCCTTAAAGGCTTTGAAAAGTAAAGAAGTCCACCTAATTAAATCGAAACAATCCACAAGAAAAAAATGAACATCATGTATAATTGAATTGTAGAGATTAAAACTCAGAACAATTGCCAATGATTAAAAATGAAAACTTGCGGATTCTGTGAGGTGTTATCGGCGTTAGGCGTAGACGACTAGATCAGAAAAAAGCAATTTAAAAATTACTCCAAATTTAATACGCACAAAAAATGATCAAATTGACTTAAAGTATGAAACCAAAAATTATAGTAGCATTAGAAACCCAATTTAATCGGTTTCCTCAAGCAAATCAGTTTTTGCTTTAAGAAAAGTAACTCACATAGTGTGCAAGAGTATCGCTCTCAGATTCATAAAGTGTAGTGCAATGATTCTAAAGGAAGAAACAAAAAGAAATAGATCAAGTTAAAAGGGGAATGAGAAGAGATAGGGTTAGCACAGCGACATACAAAAGAAAGACGCTCGGTAAGGGAGATAATCTGACCAGGAGTTCTTAGATGTGACTGTGAATCAATTGAAGAACTTGGAATGTTCATCAAGTCACGAGGATTCAAATCTGAATGAAGGAAACAGAAGTATATAAAAGGGAACGATGAGTACCTTTGGGGAGTCTAACAGTAGAGAGACCGAAGTCTGTAAGCTTGAGATGTCCCTTGGCAGTGATTAAAACATTGTCTGGTTTAAGGTCGCGATGAATTATGCCATTACCATGAAGGTACTTTACAGCGATGGACATTTCTGCCATGTAGAGGGCCGCGTGAAGTTCAGAAAGATACCCACAGAGAAGAATAAGTGACTTCAGGTCACCTCCTATTAGGTACTCCATCACCTAATAATGAAAGAAACAGATGAATATTAAACAAAACACAAACCAAATAAACATATTGATCTGTCTGCAAAGAATAATATAAGTGAACAATGTAGGGACAATTGCTGATTGCTAGAGCATTTCTCTCGGCAGTAACTAAAACGTAAGAATATTAAAAGGAATTACCTTGATCAACAAGGTTCTTCTCTAACATTGCCGACTTGGACATAATTTTAATTGCGTATATTTGATCAGTATTATTCTTTTTGGCACCCAGCATTACTTTACTACAGATTTTAGACTTGTTGTGCATTAAAATTCAACAAACCCATAGGCACCAGAACTTATGGCTTTGAAAATGACGAAATCTGATATTGATGGAGCAGCCTAAAATACGCATGTCGGAAAAAATAATAAGGAATATGAAAATTGCAAACCTACTATATTAAATGCATAATTCAATCAATATTTTTATAGCTGATTAAAAGACATAGTAAAAAGTAAAGAAGATCAAAAATAAATAAAAATAGAGAAAAATCGCAGTTCATTTCAGGTGCTTTAAAACCGAGTCCTTGAGCTTTTAAGGCTTTTGTTAGTGTATTTAAACGTACCATATTTAAAATTGCGTTACTCCTTAAAATAACTAAAAATGATGTGAAAGTTTTTTATAAATGATAAATTAAATTTTAAAAGGCCTTATTTATGGTAAATATGTTATTCTAATTATGAGTTTATTGTCAATTTGTCCAGTAAGTAGATTTTCCTGCTTTTAAAATGCAACCATAAAGCCCCTGTAAAAATTTCAATATTCCAAGAAATAGGAAATCTGTTCACCTATACTTAATTATGCGAGGAACTCTGGATGTTATAGCACCATTTTACATCCCAACTTCTCAAAATGTTGATATTAACGAGACCGACCTGGAAATGTGTAGAGAAGATAATCCATTGTCACGGTATCCAATTTTTCGCCGTTTTTATATGTCGTTGCACACTATTTTATTGCAAGTTCAAAAATCAATGATTATGCAGAATTATTATTATTATTTCAAATGGCAGGCCTAGTGATATTTACTATAAGCCGTTTAGTTGATTTCAACTTTCCCCATGGGTGGAGGTACATATATCAGTTAACCAATAGCTGTTCATTAGCTGTTGTCTGACTTTCCAGTAGCTCTGGGTTTCTGACGTTGCCTTTAGGGATGGACATCATATCAGTTGGGTCTTCTCCATTTCCTCCTGTAGGCCACAAGTAGGCGGCATGTGGGTTGAGTGTATACTCCTAAAGTTACATGGAGGGCATGTGGGTTGAGTGTATAATCCCAATTTGTGAGGCCAGAATCGTGTCCGGTACGTAGTCTAAACTCAGCAACAGCTTCAATTCTTGGCTGGTCAGCTATTTCGAAGAGTGCCACTGTCCACTATATCCATTTTGTTCGAGATTTAAGTTCGTTGCGCCTTGAGGTCTTGAATTATCTCCTGATTAAGGTCTTCATTGTTTGGAAATTTATGCAGAATTAAAAGGCGAACATTTGTCTAATATATCAGTACACTAGTTCTGGCTTCTGAATTTTAATGCTAATATTCTTTCTCGAGCTTCAAGTTATGTCACTTATTATCGAGATAGGTCTTTCAAGGCAATAATCTTTTTTCCATGACTTTAAATCTTATACTAAAAAACGAATATTTTGAACCATTGCTTGAGAATTAATTGCTATTGAATGCGTTGCTGCAAAACATGTATCAAGTGAAATATGAAAAGATTAGTTATAAATTTTTCAAAACTTTTGTCAAAGATGATAACACAATAATTTGATACACAACATTATATAACGTTTATTAATTTAAGCAAACATATTTGGAAAAATCAACATATTTTCGTTTTGTGAGGTCGAAACAAAAACGAGGTATCCTCATAATAGAATATATACGATAAACAATTTTTTAATTTAAGTCTTGATGTGTACAAATTTTATTTTTTTTTGCGTTCGATTTACGTACACAAACTTCATCTAACGCGGTACAATTTTATTCACCCTGCATTGATTTGAGGTAACGGATATCTATCTATTGAATAGCTTAATTCACACAGCATTTTCTGATTAAAGATCTAAGAATAATTTCCTTGATTATATATCTATTAGTAAATCGGAAAGGCGGAATTCTTGTGACACTCTATTCAGAGCATGCAACATTCGTATTTTGACGAATTTTTTAAAGAACCTCAGTCATATTGCTCCTCTGTTTGCCAATATGTGGCGGGACATACTTTTATCATTATTAAAACACTTTCATAAAGTTGATATTTCTTTGCATCGTCCTTTTGGCATTAATATTTCTTAAATGTAACTGATAAATCACACGAATACATGTACAAACTTTGGATCGTGTATTGTATCGAGTTTTGCATTTATTAAATCTATTTTAGAGGTTCGTAGCAAATGACAAAACAACCGGTGTCAATTATACAAAGCTCATTATAACTTCGAGTTAAAAGCTCCCAACCTAAAAATCAAAATTGGCGAAAGATAACTCCATTTGATCAAGTTCGAGTGTTTGTTTAATGCCTGTAAAAGATAATATTCAAAGATATTAGCAGCATTATTTCTTCTTTAGGATCACTTTCATTTTCCCGACGAAATCTATTTTGTTTACGCAGGAATATGTATCTGAATATGAAAAGGATTTCGAATTTTTTGTGACAGCATAGTTTTTTTAACAAATAATTCGATCACTGCGAAGACCTCATCTGCTTTTAATCTGGCTCCCCTCGTAGTTTTCTAAATAAATACTTCGAAATTTTATCTTGCTATTCTAAGTTTACTAACATAATTTTTGTCGCATATCGACAGTTTTAGTATTTGACAGGAAGAAGAAATAATTTCAGAATGGATACTAAATGATGATGTGGGATGTCACTAATTTGGTGTTTTAAGTCAACAATTTTGTAAAGTATTTGTTTCAACATTTCGCCATTATAGCGGACTTAACAAATGGCCTTGGGGTGTCGGTCGACGGCTTGGTTAGTAAAAATGGTCATATTTTCTTTTCACTAACGGTTATCTATAATCTCAATTTGAAAACACCTTCGCCTAGCCATTTTATTAGATTCCTACTTCTCTTTAGTTAACGCTCTATTTTAATGTCACAGTAATAATTTTTAGTGAGCCTTTTATTTATTTATTTTCAATTTTCAGATTATGCGACTCAAGATTCCCGCACCAGTTCAGACGTGGTTTAATACACTCGGTACCTCGTCTAAGCGGCGTCTCTTAGCAGAAGATGAGCCACACACACCATCCACTGCTGTTGCTGCTCCTCTTGTTATAGAATCCCTTCAAAATCTCTGCTATGAGATATTTGCCCTCCCAGTCTGCACTGCGGATTCTGTAAGTATAGCTCAGACTATATGTGGACACATCTATAGCCTTGCTCAAAGCAATGATCCATCTCTCCATCTTCTTGTTTTGGATTTGCTGCCCACCCTCGTACATGTCTATCTCGTTCTGTCAAGTGAGCTAGATTACTTGCTGTCTGGCTTGTTTACTCTGCTTATTTCGCAAAAATTTGAAAAATACTCTATTACGTTTATTATACCTATAAATAAATATCAATTCGGCAATTGAACCGATAGCTATATTTTGTGATACTTTTATCTCATGCTCCGCAATAAACTCGCGATAAGGCTGTGCAATCGCATCGCTATCGAATGTAGAATTTTAATCATTTTATTCCCGTTTGAAATTATTTTACATTAATATAACTTTCAAGTTGTCAGTAGCTTGGAATTTTACCCCGAAGTCTTGAGCATCATTTTGCATTTCAAAATATTGCCAACTAGTATGAATAGAGAAAAGTTATTGGCTTTCACTTAAGCATCACACGTTATTCCGTTTTCTTCGCATTTTGTTCAATGTGTAGATTGTATTGAAGCAAATTTTCTTTAGTTAGTTAAACATGCTGTTTGTGGTAGTGTCGGTTGTCCTGCCTCGTTCTTGTGATTGGACTCAAGTCACTCGTGAGATTTAATTGGAGAAGGAAGAGGAAGAGTGATCATTGGTGGGCGAAAATTTTATTTGCAAAAGGACTGTCAATGAATCTACCTAGAGGAGTGTCGAAATTCCACTCCACACGCACTCAGGACTCTTTAATCTATGGCTTTGGTCTTCTGTGCTTTAAACACTTCCCCCTTTTAATCTCATTGGGTTGCTGACGGAAAAGGCTTGTTCACACGGTCGAATTTTTAGTGAATTCGAATGAATCTGCACTATTACCTCTACAAGTGTATAATTATGCAGTTGTCGAGCGATTTTTTTTCATGTTTGGGGTAAGGCATAATCAAGATCCGAATTACTGAAAGTAGCAAAAACAGTTGAGCCTCGAAAAATTTTGCTACAATATGCGTTTGTTCCTCCCTCCCCTTCTTCTTCATCCGATTTATTTTCCCTCTATTTGAAATTCCTATCAGATTCGCAACATTCCATTAGGTTCTTCTACTTGACGCAGATGGACCCTTGATGCAACTTGATTTGGTTTAATGTTTTTCCTAAACACCACTGGCTTCAGATAAATTGGGACATTTTCGATTTCAGTGTGGTCTTGAAGCAAATTGCATTTGGTGATGTCTAGTGTCATAACCCCATACAAACCTCCCAAACTACTTTCATATTCCAGAATTCAAAAGTAATACATATTTGTTTAAAGATAGGCTTTACTTCCAAATTTTCTCAAGACGAATCTTTTACAATTTATCACATTTTTAACTTGCAGGTATTATGCATAATTACTAATAAATCGTTGATGACCTTTCTTACGCGTTAATAATCCTTTTTTTAATTAAAATGGAGTGCAAATAACACAATCAACTTTGTTTCCCTAGCGCAATGCAACTTCCCTCTTAAAAAATGCCGTAACGACATATTACACTTTCATAATATATGTGATTTAATAACACAAAAATGTTAATTTGTTATTTTAACTTGGCTGGGAAATCGATTTTTTAAAGCTATAATTTAACTCGAATCAATTGTACGCATTCTATCTTCAAGGTTTCACTTTATCAATTTTTATTTCTTAATTGAATTAAAGAAATTTCCTTCCTTTTTGGTCTTTGCTTTTTTTCACGCATTCACTTTTCTGTTTTAACGGGAGCTTGGAGCAAAATTGTCTGTTTTCGATAAGAAAGCCTCAATCTCTCTCTCGTTAAACTTCTAGTAAACGTTACTGTTGTTTAAAGAAGTTGTAGAAATTAATAGTTTCTATAAAATGGATGTGTCGAATAATGGCTGATGTTTAAGAAATCTGTGATCTCGTAACTAGTTCGATTTTTCTGTCAAGATGCTAGTAAAGTCATTATTTTCATCAAATGAAGTATGTAAATGAGATCAATTCTGAATTGTTTAGGTTGATCCACTTTTTTCTCCACCATTTTCCAGACTTGCGTTAACAAAATGACGTTGGCAAGTCCCAAAGCAAATGCAATATATATATATATATATATATATATATATACACGGATGAGTGCGGTTTCGCAGTAGCAAAGAACTTGAAATCCGTAGGAAGCCATTTATTCGGTTGAGTTGAGTTGAGAGGTAGCAACCCTGGGAAACTCGCACTTTAAGCATTTTGTTGTCGTTCTTTAGACGCTAGTATTACTCCTTCGGGTGCTTCCATAACACTGCCACTTTTTTCATGCTTCTCTGCGCATGTGAAACAAAGGGACCCGAAAATGAGAGTTGAACTTTAGGGGATGACATTAAAACAAGTAGGCGATGAAGTTATAGCATCAATAGTGCTATTTTCTATTGGAATTATGGAATCATTGGGCTGACCAATTTTCCATATGTAATGTGTGCCTTTTTTCATGAATTTGGAATCCTTCTGCATTCCTCGTCATCCAGCTTCTGATCCCAGGCACTTTGTCCCGCTGAAAAATGACAGATCATGTCTGCAAATAGGGCTTATTTAGACTTTATCGTCTTAGTGATTTTGATATTTTTCTTAACTTTGGCACTCTTGTTGTGCGTGATGCCAGATACTGCATTTTTGATCTTGACGAAATCCCAAGGTCATGTGAACGACCGAATGGTATAAATGAAAATAAATTATTATTATTTTTTCAATTTCAATCTGTAAAGTAATACTTCTGTTCCATGAACATATTTTAGACCTCGTCGATCGCTTCCGATCGCCTCGACAGGAAGTAGGACGAGCAACTAAAATCGTTTGTCCTGTAAGATAAGGGGTTGCCTTTCTTTGTCACTTGGGCGGAAGGTTTATGGAATACGTTAATGAGATTATGCACTGAACGTTTGGCATCTCAAATACCTTCTATTCAGTATTGGCGTTTTATCATTCAACAAAATCTAAAATAAATGCCTTCATAAAGTTTGGCTGTTTACCTGAATCTTGATTGTTGGTCTTTGTTCTACTTCTTAATTTATTTATATTTCACTTTTACCTTAACATACAAAGTTAGTTGTCTTCCTTGCTAGATGATAGTCCAACAGTTGTGTGAACAAACTTTGCTAAATGTCCATAATCCGACCCCCTTCTTTCTCTATTAGCAACCCTCTCATGTGAAATCGGTAATTTCAAGACCAATCATCGGGCATCCCGGAAGTCGCATACTAGGCATAAACATTCCATCGCTGTAAATTGCTCTGGGGCACACTCACTTACTACTGAAACACCTCTCTCAGGAGTTCCTTCTTCTGGCGTTCAGACCCAGACGTCCTTTCGAAGTCGTCTCAAAAAGTCCTCTATAGCCTCGATGGAAGCGCTACGTCTCAGCAAGTCGATGCGTCAGCGTACCCATCGCCTTCTCAAGGGTCTCAATCCTGATGCTTCCAGCAACGTCTCAAACATCAATGACTCACCACCACCACCCCAGAAGCACCAGCTGCAATATTCCTCTTCTATCGATTCCTCTCTTACAGCAAAATCTTCCCTCCATTTTCCCTCCTCTTTCGATTACGTGAAGTACATGGAGACAATTGGGACACACATGACCAATCTGGCAGCGGTGTTGGAAGCCCTTCTTCTGGGCCTCTACAACACTTTTGCCCGGAATCAGATAGCACCTAGTGTCTACTCTGCCCTACCCCCTCTTTCAAGCAGATCGGTGTTTTGCGGGCCTTTGAATGTACGTGGTAAGAGAGAGGAACAGGATGGAGAACTTGTGGAAGCACTCCTTCAACTCTTCTCTAACAGAGATCCTTCCAGCGTAAGTCCTTTCCATGTATCGCAACACAGATATTTGAATGGTGTACATATTTCTTCCAAAATAGTTTTGAAAAAGGTATTTTAACTAAATACCTAACCGTTGAGACTTTTTATACCTGGCTTGTGTCTCTCGCTTATTTTGCTCTGCATTAAAATGAGAGAGTGGACTTATTGAATACTAACTGCAATTAGCAATGAGATAGAAGTTGAAAGGAGGGCGGAGGTGAGAGAGTTGTGAGTCTGAAGTTAGTGAAGCAATTGTGTTTTAGCGGCGTGAGGTGGTGTGTGCCATTGAAGCAACCCATCGCGGAGGGGGGGGGAGTAGGGGGGCGTATCTAATTAGGCATTGAAAACAACTCCCTTGGACCTCACCGCGTTTTCTTATTTTTTTCAACAGTTGTTAATCAGGGGAAAGAAGGACACCACGAATGGGTCCTTTGCTGTGACAGGCGAGGAGGTGGAATTAACACCTTGCAATCGATGGCGGATACTGCGTCTCCTCTGTCGTCTCTGTAGCGAGAGGATCGGGGACTTGACGGAACGGGGTCGTGCAGCACTCTGTCATCTCGCTCTCCTTCTCGGCCCCTATGGACTGCGAGAACACCGTCTCCCTCCGAGTCCTCTTTCTTCCGTTGCAAACAGTGACACCCTGCGAAATCAATATCAATATTCTACTTCCATTCACCACCATGGCGGACGAAAATCGCGGTGGCAAGGGTTCCCGAAGACCCAGATTCATAATCGTAATCGACGGGGAGAAAGAGTGATGAGAATGTCCACTCCAGTGGACGATTCATCTCGCCATAAGCATGGAAGAATAGGGGGTGGTGGTCGAATTGATTTGGCAAAAATCACAGCTCCTTTGAAGAGGGGGAAACTCTCTGTCATAGGTTCGAAAGTGAAGCCACCTCCAGAGGTCAATATTATTGGGTAAGTTGATTTTTTCTTTCCTTTGAATTTCTACTGAAGATTTAAGTTTTATTCTTGGGATTTGTTCGTGTTATGCTATTTGTGCTTGTAACATATTTCACATGGTTTCTTTTGCGATGAGGAGATTAGTGGACCTTGTGCTATCTTTCATGACCGGTTTCTGCTCTTCGTATTTGGCGTTTCAAGGTCCCGCAGAATTGTAGAACCCACATGTCAGACGTCACTGGCTTGCTATTCTTTGGCACACATCAACTGAACTGCTGGTCACAAAGTAAAACTAGTTTCCTAGTTAAAGGCAGTGTTGGGCAATACCTTCCCTAAACGAGCTGATTATGACGGTGAGTTATTCACAAAATCGCTCCCCACTGTTCCTTGGATAAGTCGCAGTAGTAGGAGTTGCTTTGTTTGGGGTTCGCTTTCTCCTTCCCCTCGGTTTCAATGTGGAAAGAGGCAAACCACATTGTTCCACTCTCCCCTCTCCTCTCCTTCACTGGCTGTGTACACAACAACAACAACAACATGATATTCTTAAATGTGCCCCCCCCCCACATCTTATAATCGAAAGTGCAGCTGACAAATCGAAATATTTTATTTCTTCTTGTTGATGACTTGTTAAATTAGATTGCTTTAATTGGCACCAAAATGGGAATAAGTCCATTTGATTGATTTGATGCTTTTCGCATTATTTGTTGAAACCCTATTCGAATAGTAAGTTAAAAAGGAGTTTTGATAATGGCAAAACTGGTTAGTTCGATCTAACTCCCTCCCCCACCCGCCCCCAATGTTTTGTTGTCAAAAGTTTGCCACCAAAGATCTCACGATAGTTCACAATTATTCTTACTTCACATTGTTCCACTGTTCGCAACCCTTTCAGTGAATTCCAAGCAGTTGAGATCTCGCCTCTAATTTGTTGAAGAAGCGTAGCTTCTGTCCACACTGCTGCTTCTTCTTGCCATGAAGGATTGTCCGAAGTTGGGAGAGGCTGCTTGTGCGATCACATCCTCCATGTGTCAAAACAAGATTTTGCAGAACCAAATAACAGGTGTTTCTCGGAGAGGAATTTCAAGGCGATTGATCGACAAACTTCGAAGCATGTTGTTGGATTATGTTGCTTGCTTCTGTACTTCAAATTTTCTCGACAGTGCGTGCTTGGCGACCCTAACCCTAATTAGTCATTTGCAAAAATCCGCAGCCGCTATTTTCAGAGAAGATTAAAAACCGCGTTGCAGCTTCTTACCCTTCTCGGGCTTCTATTTTTGCTACTTATAATTGTATTGACCGCTACAAAGCGCTCTTGGTTCACGCCTAGTCTATCATAGATTTTCACATTGGTGGGTGAATTGTGTTCTACTTTTTCTTGATTGGAAAAAATTACAAGCAAACCCTAACCCCAATCCATAAATATCACTGCGTGCCAGAGGTGAAATAGCTGAACCATGTGTTCTCGAGCATTAATCACCAGCCTTTCCTAGTCTTTATTCTATATGTGTACAAAATGCAATGAAGTGGGATGTTAGATTTCCTCTTGTTTCACTTATCTCATCTTCCATTTCCATTAGTCAATATAAGTCCAATATTGTAAGATCTGTAACTATTCTTACGACATGTGACACTTTCTTTAAACATTTTCGGTTAAGTCTTTCCCATACTTTTCTTGTACTGATAACTGTAGTACGTCGGTTTCAAGCCGGTTGTGATGAGAATTACACCGATATACTGATCGATAAACTCCCCTCCTGCATTCCTTTTAGTCCTCAAAACGATCCTACCGATAATAGCATCACTGGCCTTGAGAACTCCATGACGGCATTGACAGTAGCGGCACTACCGAGTGAGGAGGCAGAAGATGACGATTCGAGAGTGGTGGACGAATTGTTGTTGGGTCTTGAAGACGAAGATAGTGAAATTGTCGTTAAAGGACAAGCTGCCTCTCGAATTAGTCCCACGGCGTCACCATTCATACCTCAAGGTGCAAGCAGCAGTTATACCGGCAGTAGCTCCGAGATGAGCAGCAGCTCCATCATCAGCGTCAGTGAAGATGACGATTTGCTTCACTCCTCACTTTCCACTTCCCATTCCTCTTCATCATCCTCCTCCTCCTCCCGCTCATTCTCCCCTTCCAATGAAACAGCGGGTCAAGAGGAGGCCGCAGACCTCCTTAAAGCGTTCGGTGCCCTCAATGTGGTCGAGGAGGAGGAAACTTTCGATGACAAAGAAGCTGCGGATCAATTCAGTGATGAATATCCCATGAAAGCAAGTGGACGACAGAGGCGCAATAAGGAGGGCAAAGTAAGGCACGACAAGAGATACTAACCCTAGTTATCCTGCGAAGCCAAAATGGGCTGGATTGGAGGGGGAGGGAGGGAGGGGGAGAGCGAGGTCGATTTGTAAAAGAAAATAATGAAAATTTAGCATCAGAAATTAAGAGACTTTACTTGCCAACCTCATTCAGTGAGTGCTCATTTTCTCACAACCAATAAAATTCAGGAATCACAACTCATTGCTGAGCTCCTCAATTTCTTGTTGGTTTAATCCCCACTAAATTGCGTGGTTAAAGGCGGTTGAGACTATTGTGTGTAATTTTTATTAAACCGGGCATCCTCACTGTCTAATTTACTCATCGATGTCTAATAAATTGACTTCTGTCGATTCCTCTTTGAAACTACGAAAAGCTACTTCTAGTTTCATGTCAATTGTGTAATTTCGTCTCTGAACTGATTTGGAGAGAACTCTGAACCTCCACTTTTGAGTTACTTCCCAATTAATGAACTATTTGAGTGGTGGAATGCTAGCGTTCCATTCAGTTATTTATATGACAAACAATTTTAATTGTTTTTTATTCTGAAAAAAATATACGAGCAGTGGCGTAAAACACGTAGTATATTAGAACTGACCAAAATTTTTATTGGTCTCGAGTTTTCAAATGAATTTGTGTCATCTTTCTTATGTCAGGACGAAGAGTCAGAGAATAGTCGGAGCACTAAAAACGGAACGACCACACTGAATGAATTCAGAGCTATTCCTGGTCGCGCAATCCCTATTGAAAGCGATGTGGGCGATGGGCTAGATTCAGTTAGAAGTATCGTTGGTGCCTCCGTCAATTCCTTGAACGAAAAATTATCCATCCCTCTGAAAGAGAAGGTTACCAAGACTACACGGGGAGGTGAAATTGAGGAGAGGAAAAAAAGGCAGAAATCGAAACGGAAGCATTTTCATTTAGCTGCTGCTGGCAGTGATAATAAGTCTTCTGGTATTGTCGGGGTGTCAGTCGCGACTGCTCGTATTCCGCATCTACCACCCTACTTGGTGCTTGAATTGCTTCCCGGTCTCCACTTCCTCCTCTGCACCGTCCAATCGCATCTCGCAGTCTCCGCTATTCGTGCTCTCGCTCAACGTGCTAATCTTGAACTCTGGTCTAATGTGCGTTCTACTTAAACTAGTTTCAGTAGTTGGGAAATTAAATTTTAATCAGTGATTTGTGACATTCAGGTTTTGCTATACACGAATAGTATCTGCAATAGCAAGCTCTACTGCGACGTGACTGACAAAACTAAAACTTCACATCTCAATGGACATGGCTCGGGTCAAGTTGAGTCCATGATTGATCAGTCAAATTCCACCGTAGGTGGATATGCTTTGTCTCCCTCTGGGTCGGTTGTCTCCTCGGGTTCATCTCACGCCTCTTTAACGCTTCTCCGACATGATAGAGAAGAGTTGATGGACCACCACCAGACAACTGAAACCTCAGCGTTGAATCGATCTCATAGGAAGGAACCAATCACAAATGCCTCGTTTCAAGTTGTAAGGCCCGAAGAAGACATTCCATTGGTGATTGACAAGCCGAACCAAATCAAACGCACCTCCTTGTCAGTGGAGATGGATGCACGAAAGAGACCGAAAAGTCAATCGCCTCGACATCAGTCCATCACCCCGGTGGCATCTTCAGCATTGGAATGTGTGTCGGAGATACCACGAGGAGTTCGTGCTCTTCATTGTGGAGGTCTCTGTGGATCTGGAAAGACCTCCCGACGCCATCGAACGTTGTCTTTCAACCCTCACGTGAGACCTTTTTCACTTTTAACTGTCAATTTTTTTTGAGTTTATGCTTAATTTCCATTGTTTTACCCTTAGCTGTGCAGTGCACTGAAAACTGGAAGTCCGAAGGGTCCAAATAATCTGAAGGTCACTTTCATGGAAGATGATCGATCAAAGAAGGAGGAAGCTAATCGTGCGGTTGCCTCGGAATCGCTTCATTCGGTCTAACTTCTTTCGGAACCCCCCCCCCCCCTCCCTTTCCATGTATATTCATTTTGATCTCCACTCCGCGTAGAGTGCTCACATGAGCCTTCTACGTTTATTATCCCTCCCTCCTTCTTCTTCTTCTTCGACAGAGATGTCTGTGCATTTATTGGTTGTTCGTGTAGTTACCACTTGTTGATTCCACTTCCTCTCCCTCTCTCTGTTCAACTATCAATGTAAACTCTTGTGTATGCGTTAGAATTCAGTGCTTTTTAGGTTTTTTTGTTTGTTTGTAGAATTCAGGGTGGAGGTGGACAATCTCAGCTACATTAGAGACAACTTGACTTTTCAGATTCCAGTGTTAATCATGAATGCGGATCAGTAATTAGTCACTATTCCTTTCAACACTTGGAGAATGGGTACATACTGGGGCCATTGTCGAGAATACTCAGCAGCTTAAAGTTTACCGAAAAGGCCTGTGATGTTCCAGCTTGTTAGGTGTGAATGAAAATGTGAGGGAGTATGAAGATGAATTGCAATTTAACTAAGAGGGAGAAATTGTAGCGAAAGTGCTCAAGTTAATTGGAAATGTTTTGGTTGTGCACTTTTACTATGGTATTCGGAAGGCGACTTGCCATTTATTTCTATTGGCCAACCATGAGTTGTGTTGACTACCACTCTTCCGCACAACATCTCGAGTGTACTCGATTAGTGCTGCCGTCTCTTCCTTTCCTCTTCTCCCACCCCCACCCCCTCCACACCAAATTGTCAAATGCGTTCAGGAGAGGCTGTTGCAGCCTCTCAGCCTTTGGCAGATCAACATTTACACACGGCTAGACGATATCGAGCCCAATTCGATACAAATCTGAAGGCAGTTTTTTTGATGCTATCAGTGTTTCTTAAATTCCCTGCCTAATTAATTAATACCACCCATTTTCTAATAAATAATATGGAATTTCAAAAGCGTTTCTGTCTGTCTGTAGTTTTAGCCCTCAAGATTGATGCTTCTCGATTTTGCTTTTCAAGCAGCCGCCACCTCCTCCACTTCTGTTGCGTAGGCCAATCACCACTTTCCCCAGTCGTATTATGCTAGCCACCTTAATTTCTGATATAAGCACACAAATTAAACGGAATGATGGCAGGCTTAGTTTAAGTCTTGATTTATTTATATCAAATGACAGGCGTTTTGATAGTTGTCATTAGCCCTTTAGCTGACTTCAGGCTTCACAGAGAGGAGGAGGAACATCAAAGTGAAAAAAAGTCGAGAGGGAGGAGGGGGAGCAGAAGAGTGTTTCAAAGATGCAAAAGAGACGGACACAAAGGTGAAGTGAAAAGGTGAGGTGAGTACTGTGAAGGAAGTGGTCGAATATGACATACAGTGAGGTGATGGCAGTTTGAAGGCAGAAGTCAACTGCCGGGTAATAGACCTTTTTTGTCATATGAGTATACGTTGCCCAGGGTGAACCACGTGGAGGTAAGTCTATCGAACACCCCGTTTAAGTCTTAATCAAAAACACCTTCGATCTTTGAATGGGCACAATTCAACTAACCTTTGCTTCCATATTAGTATTACCAGGTGGCATAACTCCATTAGCTACAAGGCTATCATTTCGTGTCAATTCGATGTAATCAGTCACCAGAGTTCGATCAATTGCCCCCTAAGCTCCACCTGGAACGATAGCGATCCATGGCTATGTAGTCTGGCTGGGCCAACAAACGCACTGAATAGGAATTTCGGATTCTCTACTGGTCCATTTCTTTCTACAGATCTGCGATTCCTTTGTTTCGCGCGGTGGCCAGTCTACTTCCACCTCACCTGGGGCTTACAACATTAACGCGAATCGGAGTCAACTACACGCTAACTCGGACTCATCTAGGAATATCAAGTGAGCAGCCGAAAATGAACTCTCTCTCTCTCGAGGATTTCGACACTCCAAACAAGACCTTACTTTACAAAACAATCAATGAATAGAAATTTCTCATTAATGTGCTTTGAAAGCATGCAGTGACAATAGCCGCATCGCAGCGACTAGTTGCAGTGAATGCATTTCAGCTTTCCGCTTTACGAAGTTCATAAAAAGCCCAAAACGCGGGGAATGGGTGGGGGTGGGGTGGGGGTGGGGGGAGAGGGAGGGAGGGAGGGAGTTGGCAATTAATTTAGCCATTCCCCATAAAAGCCTGGCTTTAAATGTCCACCCACAGTCATTTCCAATTTTAGTGAAAGTGGAAAATTACTTTCTTTCATTAGAAATTTGAGCAGATGAAAATTCATTAATAGGCAGCATCACGTTAATTTTCATCTGTCGAGAGTACTTCAAGGACACAGATACAAACGACTTAAAGTGAGTTTCAAACTGGACCGCACTCATTGTGTGCTATTACTGGCTAATACAAGAGGCGTTTCGACAGTTGTCAACACAGCTCAGTGGAGGCAACTCGAAATCTCGAAACTGAAGAAACAAAACACGATTGTATATTAATTTTGACTGAAGGAAGAATAGTAGTATGTTTTTTTATTGAGATTGTTGGGAGCGATACATTGTGAAAAGATTGAAGTTTCGGGAAAAAATAAGTTATGACATCTTGTTTCGATCTCCCAGCGGACAATCCTCCTCATAGTAAGGTCAAAAGGACTCATTCTCCTTCACGGTTGTCCTTGTCGTCAGTGCGGAAAGGTCCCAAACACAAATCCTGCCTTCTTGCGACGCGGCTATCAGTGTGCTCCCAGTCACCTGAAAGAAATGCAGCCAACTAATTGGCATGCTATTATGAGGTACATGGAAAGGGGGGGAGCATATTATCTCCGATTGGAGGTGGTGGTGCTCCCTGGGAAACGTCCACTCATCATACGCCAAAAATGTCTATAAACCGGCAGTTGACTTCCCCCTTCAGCCTATCATGACCCTACTGCATGACATCCATCACCACTTTAACAGCACTCACCTAACCTTTTTCCCTACCTTTGTGTCTGTCTGTCTATTTTAGATCTGTGAATCACTCTTCTATCCCCCCCCCCCGTCACGTCTTTTTGTCACGTTGATTTCCCTGCCCCCTCTATGAGGCCCGTGGTCGACTAAAGGGCTAATGATAACTATCATAAAGCCTGCCAGTTGATAAAGATAAATCTCAAATTCGATATCTAATCATGTTTTTTTTCATCAAAACGGAATATTCTAAGTGAAACTTGTCACACTTTTCATCTATGCTTTTTTCGCAAAGGTTATTTTTATAAAATAGTAAGAAATAAAACTAAGGGGACTCGGGTTGTAAGCACACATCGTTGAAAAAATGATTAAAAATGGGTTCTAATTGATCATTATCGTGGTACAAATAGATATATGCATGTGCATATTGGCGTTTCCTATTGCAGACAAGATGGGAGGTAACACGGCAATATAAAATCCAGACTAACGGTTGAGGATAATGCTCAATGCAGCCCAATAGTTAAAAAATTACTTAATCGGTCTCAAATAGTTATGAAAGAATCGATAGGAGGAATGAAATGAGCTAGTGAAAGTGAGTTCCATTTAAATGGACGAAGCTGAAACGTCTACAATCATGAAACTGGAAATACCCCATTCAATGTTCATCTAGTAGAGCAACATTTTCGTCATTTTTCTGCTTGAATACCTTCTAGAGGTGAATAAATGGCCAATTTTTTAAAAAAATTCACTGGGTCTCACAAATACCTCCTTGCATCGATCTCAGGAAAGACTTTCCAAGTCATTTTCATGCAATATTTCGCAGCGTCACAAATTGCACAATCGATGATTTTCCCTTTTAACTAAGTGGAAAATGCCCTATATTGCTTGGCTTACCTCAAAACAGCAGAATTTGTCCACTTCAGAACACACGAATTGTTCCAACATGGTGGACGTCTTCGAGTCGAAACAGCGAATCTTCCCATCTCCCGAACCGGTCACCACTGCGGTTGAGCACGAAAAAGTGTTAAATTATCTTTTTTTAATCAAATTTGAAAGCATAATTCAAATTTTTATAGTTTGAGGGAAAGTTTTTAAGTTAAAACAAAGTACGCAGGAAAGAAGGTTGGCAGAGAACGGAAAAAGGTGTGGCGATATAAAGTCGCACTTTTTCCAGTGTACATTTTCACAAATAACCAACTCTTTTCTTTCATTGCTACTTTTTCCAGTAAATAGCCCTATTGCTAGAGATGGCGCTGGTTTAAAAATGAATAACTGCCGAAATGATTTAAATTTTACAGCAAGGCCCTTAAAATGAAAGTCCTTCGTTCAACATAACTTAGGTAGAGAACGCAGTTGCTGTCAGTATTATTTAAATATTATATTTTTATTAAATTGCTGCGATCAGCACCATCACTACCAGTCACAACCACTGCCCGACTTTCATGACCACACTGAAATCAATAAGCACCCATAATTTTGGTTAAAATCAATGGAACCTCCAGCTTTTCATTTCACTTGGAAAGCATTTCAAGAATATTCTGAGAGACATTTGGCAGGATAAATTTGAGGTAAAAATTTGGAAATGATTTTCTGTAACTCACACGTGTCTCCCTTGAGAAGGCACAACTTGGAAACAGTGTGCCCGTGACCTTTGAAGACCTGCAACTCCTGAGCGATATCGGTGACCCAGGACCTAACCGTCTCGTCCGAGCTGGCGCTGAAGAGACAGTCATCTGATATCTACAAGGTTTTCGAAAAAAAGATAGCAGCACATGCCACACCAATCTCCAAAAAGGCTTACTTTTAAAATTATAATTTTTTTTTCCACTTGTGTGGGCGTCTTCAAGATTAGCGACATTGGCTCCTTCAAAATTCATAATAAGCATAAAACACTTTCTAATTTCATACTGAAGTAACGAAAATCGCGTGCGTGGGACATCAAGTTGGCCGCAGTTAAGATCACTCACTTCCATGGTAGCCCAAGTACTTCCAAGTACCTCCTTTCAGCTCACCACTGTGGGCATGTGAAGTGATGATGTCTCTCTAGTGACGATGTCCCTCCTTTATTATAAGAATTTCACAGATTGATTGACCTCAATATTCTGTAGGCAGGCAGGCGATTCTAGGACATTTTCCGGAGTTATTTACACCTTGACAGTAGGAAGCATAAATCAAGTTTCGTTGAGACTTTTCTTTGCTGGCAACTTGTCATTTTCCACCTTCCCAAGCCACACTTCTCGGCGCGGCAAATTTTTCCAACCAAATTGGTAGCCAGAAGTCGTGTTAATCCTTCGCAAATTTTAATCAAACAATTTTGCAACAATTATTCCCCTTCTCCATAAATTTTATCCAATATGTGTAGCAAGAAAAGAATAAAAAACATGTAATGTTGCATGCAAATGCTGTAATTTACTAAAGTGATCTGTAGGAGTGAAACTCACCAGTAGGTAAATGATTGGGGCAGAATGGCCCTCAAACCAATGGATTCTCTGTCCAGTTTCCAACAACCAACTGGCGACACGACCATCAGAGGAGCCGGTGTAGAGGTAGTGGCGTTCTTCATCTACGGCCACGCAGGTGACAGGTCCAGAATGGCCGCGGAAAGTCTGCAGACAAGTCGACTTTGTTGCTCCCCACAGACGCGCTGTGCAGTCAGCTGAAAAGGTCACAAAACGAACTCGACGTCGTCCAGCCGATGCATCGGTCGACTTTTCCTGATTAATTGACTCATTGGCCCCAGTTGAGATTCTAATGCCATAGACGGCCCCTTTGTGGCCTGTGTACTCCCTTATGGGACTTCCGTCTTCCAAACTCCAGCAGTGCACTAGGAGGTCGTTGGCGGAGGTGAAGATCTGCGTTTTTGTGACGCAGATTGACGTGATGCAGCCCGTATGACCTGTAATAGTCTAACAACATGAGGACAACATTGATTTGCTCATTTACTCATTACAGGCTGCAATTATTTGTGAATGATTGTCTTCTTGTTCAGGCTTGATCTCTTTCCAGTTGCGCGGTTAAGTTGAAAATGAAAAATTCTGATGAGAAAGTGGCAGAATTTCGCACGAGAAAGTCAGTAAGTTAAGTTTGCTTACTTAAATTACCTCCACACCTCGATTCAATCTGATTTCAAGTTAGATGAAATGACTTTAATTAAGGCAGTATGACCTATTCACAATTTCACCACACGCTAACTACTTTCACTGTTAAGCCAACATGTGAGATTAGGAAAATGAATGGCAAATTTTCTGACAGAATAACAGGTAAATTTTAATAATAAATAATAAAAAATAAAGAATAGCAAAATAGTCCACGCAATTTGCTAAACAGATGATGTTTGAACGGAGTGAAATTCGGATGGGGTTACCGTATTAGAAACAACTCAGTGTTTAGCTGCATTAAAACAAAATGGTTCCCACTTTATGCAGTCACGTGATTTGCGCTTTTCAATTTGTTTTTACTTTCCGAAGTAACATTGAACTGATGCGTCACAGCTACAGGGCTGCGTTTCAGAATTCTTCCAAGACATTGCATTTTAATTATTTAATATTATGTAGTTGATAAAAGTTCTTTACGCCAATTAGAAAGGGCCTTCCAACCACAAATACCCTTCAGCTTCAATAAGTTTTAAACACTTTTAAGGAGCTTCATTTGTATTACACTGATACCAGTTGAATTTCTGGTTGATCCATTTCGCTTCCATTGATTGATTTTATACTTTCAAAGTGTCATTAACATAACTCTTAATAAATACCAAGAGCCATTTCAATTTTTAATGGATTAGACACATGATAGGGTAAATGCCATTTTCCAGCCACTTGTTTACATCAAGACAACCACAAAATCGAGACACTTAATCTATCTTTGACCTATGAAAATAATAAATTAACTGGCATCAGCTGAAACATACGAAAATACGATCGCCTTGGATAAGATCCCACATTAGAACAGTCATATCTCCGGATCCAGATAGCAGACGTGTTCCAACAAAAACAAGACAAGTGATGTAGTCATCGTGTCCGAGTAGTTCTCGGACACAATCCCAACGGTCTATGGACCAGACTCTTATTGAGCAGTCCTCTGAACCAGAGGCCACTAAAGACCCATCTTCAGACACCACTAGGCAATTGATCTCCTCTGCATGCGCCTTTACATTGGCCATTTGAGCATTTGTGCCAAAGTCATTTGATTGAGGAGAACACTCCGTTTTCGATTGGGTGTCAGGTCCCGCCTCGATGTCATCATTTGGTTCTAAGGCAATTTCGTCCCTTTGTGTATTCGATGGACAACTAGACGTTAGTCCCATGTTTGCGAATCTGCAAGCGAATTACGTTCCATTAGAATTGATGGGTATGAAGTAACCAGTGAACTCAATTAACTTGTCAATGGACAATCTACTAAGATCCAGCTTTGCGCTGAATTTTAAATTTCCAATACAAAATGATTTTCAAAATGCCGGTAATATTAAAGAAATCTAAAAATTCTAGTAAGTTCTAATTAATATTGAAATGTATTTACATGTTAGAGAGTTGGAAAAAATGTTTTAAATAAGACAGTGTATTTTTCATTGAAACCTTCAAAGATAGAATATCGAATGGCTAACTTTACGAATTTTACAATGTTTATGTTTACTCTTGCATTAATAAAACAGATAAAAATATTACCAATTTAATTATAGAGTGGAGGGAGATGAGTTTGCCACGCGAGTGGTGCGCGGGTTGGAAAGCAGAGAAGAAGAAAGTGGACCAATTGTGCGGAGTGAATTGAAGAATTGAGATATGGAGAGACAAAAGAGGACATGTAGTGTTGTCATGGCAACATGGCGATTCAATTGTGAATGATCACCATGTCTCTTATCTGCAGAGGAAAAGTATTAGGAAACATTATTCTCTTTCCGACAGGCCTATTTATTTTATAATGGTAATTAATTTATCTCATTTGCAATAACCGTTTTTTCAGTATTTTTAATAACTAAGGCTTCACATACTATTTTCTCCTTAGGTGCTAGCATATTTAATACCGACTGAAAGTAGATTCCTGTATTTTCAATAGAAGCCCAACTTTGAATGGTTCGTTGGTGAAAATATTTCAATGTCAAATATTTGAAAAAAAATAAATTTAATTAATCTTAGATATTTATTCTGGTGGAATTCCGGGTTGTAACTCGTAAAGATTCTACTCAGTTTTAATATATTTTATTTATTTATATCAAATGGCAGGCGTTTTGGTAGTTATCATTAGCCCTTTAGTTGACTACAGGCTTCACAGATGGGAAGGAACATCAAAGTGAAAAAAAGGGGGACAGAAGAGTGTTTCAAAGATGTAAAAGAGACAGACACAAAGTTGGAAAAAAGGTGTGGTGAGTACGGTCGAAGTAGTCGAATTTGACATACAGTGGGGTATTGGTAGTTTGAAGTCAGAAGTCA